GGGCAGCTCTATTAACATCTTCCCTGATGTAGCTGAAGCAGTTTCTACCCCTCATTGCCCATTCTTACACGAGCAAAGTAGATCCACTGTTCATTTGAAAGAAGGGCAAGAGCCTTGTTAAGATAATTTCTCAAAATCAAGAAACACAATTACCTTCACTTTCTGCATGTGTCAACCATTTACATCAATCAGAAAAGATCACTCAACAAAGGTAAAATGAATCATAATTTAAAGATAGCCTATATTTAGCTTGACTTTTCTCATCTGTTCTATACACTGCAGCATTGATTATCATTAATGATAATCTCACATTTGCCCTGATATGAAACAGATATGTCAAGAATCAAGGAAAATAACTCAAAGAAGCCAGCAAAAACTATATATATCTATGCATCAGAACCTCAAATAATGTTGATGTGTTATAACATTGATGAGAAAAATAATCGGTTCCTTGCTAGGCTCACTGTCTGTGAGGGGTTTGCATGACATCCCATGTCAGTGTGGGTTTTCTCCAGGGACTCCAGTTTCCTCCTGCATCCCAAAGATGTGTGCATGAGGTGAACTGGGATGCCTTGACTGCTTTAGTCTAAGAGAATGTGGGTGTGGGTGTGAGTGTGCCCTGTGATGGAAGTACATCCTATCCAGAGTGGGGTCCCATCTTTCTCCCCAAGTTGGCAGAAAGTCTCAGGCCATCTTCGACCTTGAGGTAGAATGAACAGGTTGGAAAATATCTTACTTTTTATTAAGCTTACATTTATTTCCATGTATTTCAGTGTTTACTATTAGAGATTTTGGGGTCTTTATTTAGAAGTTTGGGGATATCTTTGTGACCAGAAATATTCTGTAAGAACCTCAACCTTACTGATATCAATTAGCCTATGGTAAAATTGGTTTCTTTATGCCATTTTGCCTAAAGTTGTGCTTTCCAAGAACTTACTGATGGCATTGAGGACTCACTGTACCTCTGTCTCTATCCTTATTTCTATTTTTATCTCTATATCTATATCTCTATATCTAATCTTTCCATCTATATCTGTCTTCACAACCACAGACCTCAAAAACAGAAATCTTCCAACTGTGTGAATAAAATGAGAGAGAACACAAAAATTTGTGGTTACCTCTCCAAATCTCAATAGCATAGAGCTTTGTTTGAAAAAGGCAAACAGTTGTTGAGAAACCTAACTAATAATATTTTAATTTAAAATAAAAGGACATATAACAAATAATCCATAGGAAAAATGAATAAGTTGCCTGCTTTTAGAATGTATTATTGGTAGGAATAAAGAAGGATAAGAAAAGGTAGTAAGTCTTTAATTTGCCATTCCACTGAAATGATTTTTCAATTTAGCATGTAAATTATATAAAATGGATGGCTATAAATTGGGTGGGGAAACAACAAAAAAAGAAAAGTAGGAAATTAGCATTGAAATTGATGAATAATGTGAGCTAAAATGAATAAAGTGCCAACTTAAAGACCTGTAACTTATAAGTCATAAGTGTCACTGCAAGCTTACCATCTGGGCAATCTGTTGCCATATAAAATGAAATGTGGCAATAGGAAAGCAAGAAGTGAACTTCAAGGTGGAAAACATGGTAGAGTTAAAGAGAAAGTGTTTCAGGACTGATGAGCAAATTAACAGCTAACCCACATCATACCTCTGACCATTATTATATAAGTCTGGAAAAATAAAAGTTCCAAACAGAATCTCTTTTATCTTGTATTAATTATTAATAAAAACATTTGATGTAAAATAAAAACTTAACTACTATTCACTGTGCCTCTCCAAAAAATGTGCAAAAAAATGAACAGAACATGACAAGAGGGGGATGAATATATATATATACATATATTAAAGGTTTTATTTTTTTTAGATAGGGGAAGGGAGGGAGAAAGAGAGAGAGAGAATCAATGTGTGGTTGCCTCTGACATGGCCCCCAATGGGGACTTGGCCTGCAACCCAGACATGTGTCCTGACTAGGAATTGAACCTGCGATGCTTTGGTTCATAGCCTGTGCTCAACCCACTGAGCTACACCAGCCAGGGAAGATGAATATATTTTAGTAAAAAAACTTACTGAAGGAAACAGAAGTTCAAGTAAACTCAAGAAATGAAAGAAGATATGACAAAACAGCTATAGAATTTGAACAATGTACAGTAGAAATTAAGAAAAGAAATGAGTCTCTAATAGGGACATTAGGGTCATCTTACTTTGAGCTATTATGAGATAACAGGAAGTAAATTTATTTTATGACCTTTTAAAAAACCAGAAAACTAGACAAAAATTATAAAATAACAGTTCTCATTTATTGGGTAATAACCAGTGCAGAAATCTAACTTCTAAGAAAGGAAAAAAAGGAAGACCTCTAACTGCAATCCTCTAACTCCCTGCCTGAAAGCAAACTTCACACTGCAAAGCACGTTAGTATCACTAAGTAAAGCAGACAGAGTCAACTTTCTCCCAGAGATCAGGGAGTCTGAGGCAGCTGGAAGTTGGAGGACTGAATTCCAGATTATAAGAAGTTAGACAAAAAAGCCCTGGCTGGCGTAGCTCAGTGCATTGAGCATGGGCTGGGAAGCAAAGTGTCCCAGGTTTGATTCCCAATCAGGGTACATTCCTGGGTTGCAGACCATAACCCCCAGCAACCGCACATTGATGTTTCTCTCTCTCTCTCTCTCTCTTGATGTTTCTCTCTCTCTCTCTCTCTCTCTCTCTCTCTCTCCCCCTTCCCTCCCTAAAAATAAAGAAATAAAATCTTTTAAAAAAAAAGAAGTTAGACAAAAAGAGAGGCCTCCAAATCTTTATGGAATCCCATGGATTTCTTACTGTATCAAAAGATGTACCTCTGTGGATTCAACTTTGTGAAGTTAGCAAAGGGCTATCAGTGATCTTTTAGGTGAATGATTCCTACCGTTTACAAGGAACAGAAAACGTTTGAATTTCCACATCCAGATTAAAGAGATTCTGCTGATCACTCAGGACACATCTTATTAGAGCATCTAACCTATCCCTAGTACAAGGGCTACTCTAGATTTACTTGAAACAAAACTTTGAAATAATACACAAGAGGATCAAATTGAATAGCAAATAATTAAACTGTCAGATAAAAAGCCAACTTGCTTGAAAATAAAACAAAGCCACACACTCAAGAGCATAAAATCTGCAATATCCAGTATCCAATCAAAACTAATACGAAAATCGATAAGCATGAAAATGTGGCCCATACACATGAAAAAAGTCGTCTAATAGAAATAGACATAAATGTGACAGAGATGATTAGATTAAAAAAGAAGGATGCTAGCACAGCTATTATAACTATGTTCAAGTATGAAAAGGAAAATGTGAACATGGTGAGAATAAAAACAAGAGATATAAATGATGAAAAATACAACTTCTAGAGATGAAAAACATATCTAAAAATAAAATCCACTGGGTGAGATCAACAAAAGATACAAAATTACAGAGAAGAAAAAGTAAGCAAACTTGAAAACATAGTAACAAACGAAAAAGTATACAACATACAAACACTAATCTTAAAGAAGGTAGGGTATAAGGGGACTAAATGGTGGTGAAAAAATATAATTAAATTTTTTAAAAAATAAATAAAAATGAAACATGGGATAGATTTATTAATATCCATAAAGTAGGTTTAAGAAATAAGGCTATTATCAGGAATAAGAAGAAAAATGTTCCTTTTAAAGGTGAGATCATATGGTATTTGTCTTTCACTGCCTGGCTTATTTCGCTTAGCACCTATAACAGGAACCTAAACAACAAAACAAAGAAACAAGCAAAATATAACCAAAGACACTGAAATAGAGGACAGGCTGACAGTGACCAGAGGGCAAAGAAGAAGGAATTTCAGGAGAGAATGGGAAGGGTTTACAGGAACAAATTTAAAGGACACATGGACAAAAACTAGGGGGAGTGTGGTAATGGGAGGGAAGTGGGGAGGGGTGGGTGGGTGAGCTAGAATGGGAGTAAAAGGGAGAAAACTGTACTTGAACAATGATTAAAATAAAAAAAAGAAAAAGAAGAAGAAAAATGTAATAATCATAGCAATGTAAATTCATTAATAAGAAATAATCAGAAATGTCTATGTATCCGAAAACACAGCTTTAAAATATACTAGGAAACAAATGACAGAGCCATAAGAAGAAACACACAAACAAAAAGCAGTTCGAATATGTCATTACTCTTGTCTCAGTAATTTAGAATATAAGTAGATAGAAATTCATTAAGCATATAAAGACCTTAATAATCCTTTCAATCAACTTGACATTTATACAAAAGTCCTTTGCACATGGTGATCTATTTCACATGGGATATTCACCAAGTCATACCATATGCTAGGCCATAAAACAAGTCTTAGTAAACTTGGTAATGATCATAATTATATTGAATATATATCCAAACTTAATAAAACTAAATGAAAACCAATAACACAAAATTGTCTGGCTGAAAAACCCAGAAATACCCAAAATATATGGACATGAAACAGTATACTACAAATGGGTTAAAAAAGAAATGTAAAAACTAAGTTAAGGAAGAGATCATAACAAAAAATAGAAAATATTTAACTAAATATAAATAAAAGCAAAAATTGTGATATGCAGCTAAAGCAGTGTTTAAAGAGAAATTTATAGTTTTAAATTATATTAGGGAGAAGAAAAGTCAAACATTCATGCCTTAAACTTCAATATTGAGACCCAGAAAAGGAAGAGTAAATCAAATATAAAATGTGAAGAAGTGAGTAAATAATAAAGATAAGAGATAATAGCAGGAATCAATGAAATAGAAAATGAAAAACACTACAGAAAATTAATGAAACTGAAGGCTGGCCTTTGAGAAAACATAAGGTTGATAGACTGCTAGATACATTGATCATTGAAAAAGGAAAATAGAAGCACAAATTGTCAATGTAATAAAAGAAAGAAGAAATACTACTAAACATTGTAATGTGAAGGACTGAGCAAAAAAGAAAAGAAAGAGCTCATGGACATGGACGGCAGTGTAGTGATTGATGTGAGCGGTGGAGGCAGTGAGGGTGGTGCAGAGGGGTATGAGGGTAGGTGGTGATGGATGGAGACTTGACTTGGGGTGTGAACACACAATACAGTAGTACAGATGATGTGCTGTAGAATTGTGCACTCAAAATCCTTATAATTTTGTTAACAAGTGTTACTCCAATAAACTCAATTAAAAAATGAAATATTATAACCAAGTTTGTGCCGATAAATTTTACAACTAAAATTAAATGGACAAATTATGTGAAAGACACAAACTATCAAAATTATTACACAAAAAATAGAAAATCTTAACGTATCTACACCAATTAAAATAATTCAATCCATAATGAAATACCTTCCTACAATGAAGTAGTGTCAGATTTTTTCACCAGAGAATTCTTTCAAGTATTTAAGAAAAATATTATGCTGATTTCCTACAAACGCTTTCATTGAAAAACAGGAAAGGAACACTTCCCAACACTTTTTACCAGGCCAGTATTACCTTGATAACAAAACCAGGCAAAGACATTACAAGAAAATATATATATATATATGATAAAACACTGAATTTTGTGTTTTTTTTTAAGATTGCAGAAAAGGCATGGAGATATGTATTCTCACCATTTGATCCAAAATTTAGTAGAAGATCTAGCCCAATGGCAAGCCAAAAAAAAAAAAAAAAGAAATGAAAGACATACAAATTGGAAAGACACAACTAAAATCTCTATTTAAATCTCTCTCTATATATAGAAAATTCTAATAAATCATAAAAGAACTACAGGAATTAATATGTGAGTTTAAAAATGTTAAGTGATTTAAGGTCAATGTACAAAATTGATTGTATTTATATATATCAGTAGTAATAGCTGAAAATTGTATTTAAAGTAACATAATCTTGAATATATGCACATTCATAAAAATTTAGGAAAGTTTTAACAAACTGCATGTAATTATTTTCAGCTGAAAACAACAAAAAAAAGGAGACCTAAATGAATAAAGTGATATACCATGTTTATGGGTCAGATATTTCAAGTTGTTCATTGTTAATCACCTCTGTAGATTCAACATAAAAGCCTATTCAAAATGAAAGCACTTTTGTTCCCAATAGACAAGCCTATTCTAAAATATATAAAAAATATAAAGGTCCTAGAAAAGCAATAACCAATTTGGTACACTTGAACTACTTGATTTCAAGATTGTCCATTACAGTAATCAAAACAAGATAAAATGGCACATGAATAATATTAAAAACCAATAGAAAAGATCAGTGATTCCATAAATGCTACTATATCTATATGGTCAACTAATTTTCAGTAAAGATGTAAAGGTAAATCTATATAAAATAATAGTGTTCAAAAATGATACTAGAATAACGGGATTTTCAAATGAAATTTTTTTAACAACCTTTACCTGAACTATATGAAAAAATGTATTCCAAGTAGATTATAGTCATATACATTGAAACTTAAAAAGGTAACTATTATATAAAAATACATAGAATATCTTTTCAAATTCAATGTGGGCAAAAATTTGTGCAATTAGATAAACACTTATTATATGACTGAGCAATTTCACTCCTAGATTTTTACCCAGAAGAAATGAGAACATATGTTCACACAGGACTTGACTATAAATGTTTATAAAAGCTTTAATTATAATAGCCAAAAACTAGAATATATTTAAAAGAGTAATACATCAATAAAATGGAATATAGTCACCAATATCAGAGAATGAACTTCTGATAGACAACACAGATGAGACACAATAACAGCTTGCTGAGTGAAAGAAGTCAGACACAGAACAGTATGATTTTGTATGATTCTATTCACATCAAACTCTAGGGGAAAAAATCTAATGTAGAGTAACAGAAATTCCCCAGGGGGAAGGATGGGTATTGAAGAATGACGATTGATTAGAAAGTAACAATAGGAAAACATTCATTGATGGAAATGTCCTATATCTTGATGGTGGTGGTTAAATGGGTTTATCTATTTGTCAAAACTCATCAAACATAAACTGTTCATTTTATTGTATCTAATTATATATCAGTAAATTTTAATTAAAAACAAGACATTATTAGGAGTGGCTAAACACATAAAATACTTCTGTATTGAAAATTAAACTATCCAGGAGTTCACCAAGAATCATCTCACCAGAACAAAAGATGCTCCTATGCTCATATCACTTAGGAAATTGCAAGGGATTTAGGAGCTTTATGCCAGGAACCAGGGGCAGAGACCATTATATGTACTTTCTATCCATTCACATTCATGTTAAGAGTTCTTACTACAAAAAAAAGGACACAAGGCAACTTTTGGAGGTGATGGATTTGTTTATAACCTTGACTCACACAAGTGTACATTTATATGTCCAAATTTATCAAATTATATCTATTAATTGTGTAAAGTTTTTTGTATTCCAATTCTATCTCAATAAAGCTGGGGAAAAGAGAACAGAACAATGTTTTCCTAGCAAGAGTGTACAATAAGTGAGTAAGAGGAAAATATGCAAAGTGAGAAGTATTACCCAAAAGGCAAGCAATGTAGTTAATTTATATTAGTTTTAGAAACTAATTTACTAAATTTACATGCTGTTTTATCTGGGGGAAAGATTTTTTTTATCAAAGATTTTTATTTATTTATTTTTAGAGAGAGAAAGGAGGGAGAAAGAGAGAGAGAAACATCAATGTGCAGTTGCTGGGGGCCGTGGCCTGCAACCCAGGCATGTGCCCTGACTGGGAATCGAACCTCCGATGCTTTCATTTGCAGCCCACACTCAAGCCACTGAGCTATGCCAGCCAGGGCTGTGGCTGTGGAGATTTTAATTAAAGAGGTGCTTTGCTTTAAATTTTTGAACTATTTTGGCTCTACGTTACTAAAATTCTCTATTTTTTTTCTCAGGTGCCATTTAAATGTAATATAGAATTAGTCTCCAGGCATAAACACTTAAATAAGTGTCTGGCTACTACCTAATTCTTTTGTCTCAAAACATTTGATATTAATTAAGCTCATCTTCATATTTCCCCATTGAGTTTAGAATAATGGTATTAGAATAATATAGATTTTATAATGAGAAATAAAGCTACTGGGGCATAAAAGACACCAAAAAGTAGTAATACCAAAACTGTTTATCACCAAAAATATGTTTAAGTTCAGTCATTTTATTTTCTCTACTCTACTTTTGATTCCTGTGTTTGTGTAACTTTTTCTGATTCAGCCATAATTGGCAGTCCTCTGAGGTCCTTTTATCCACGTTCATTACTTGTGGACCAAGTCTTCCCACCAACCAACAAGTTGAGTAAATCTGTGATGACAGAAAGCATCTCAGGTCCTAGGCTTCTAGGGTCTAATTTTCTAGAGTCTCTCTTATGTGCTAAGTAGCCTTACATATTTTTTGGAAGAAGGTGGTAAATAAGTACACACATTAAAAAACTATACTCATTGGTTGCCAATAATTTTTGTGCATTTAATAACCATTAACTGAGTGTTTGTATATGCTTGGCACTGCTTCAGGTAGTCAGATAGTTTGGGAGAGTGAAGTAAATGATTCTCTTGTCCTCAGAATTTATAGGCTAATAAATATAGTGTAAACACAGTCTTCTTTGTATACTTGTATCAATTAATTTTTCTTAATTGGCAACTTGCCCTGGAGACCTCATTACACTTATTAAACTTGACTACCAGAGCTGACCATTTCTGAGGACTGGCCCAAGTGTGTCCTGTGTCCATCTACATGCTAAGAAAAAAAGGGAATGTCAAACATTTATTTCACTATTGGGTTGGCCAAAAAGTTCACTTTCCCCTCCATCATTTAATTGTCTTTAATTGCATTCAAATAAATTTTGTTACATTGTATTACAGCTGTCATATCAGCATTTAAAATAAACATCAAAATTGGTAAATTTTTACATAGTCATTTTAATATTGAAGATGAAAGAAAACAAGTAACATTTTCAGCATGTTATGTTTTATTATTTCAAGAAAGGTAAAAATGCAACTGAAACACACACAAAAAGATTTGTGCAGTATGTAGAGAAGGGGTTGTGACTGATTGAACGTGTCAAAAGTGGTTTGTGAAGTTTCATACTGGAGATTTCTTCCTGGGTGATGCTCCACAGTCAGATAGACCAGTTCAAGTTGATAGTGATCAAATTGAGACATTAGTTGAGGACAATCAGTATTATACCGCTTGACAGAGAGTCAACATACTCAAAATATCCAAATCAATAAAGTTACTGATGAAAATGAATAACGCATTTTTTATTTTACAGAAAAAAAGTAAATGGACTTTTTGTCCAACTCATAAAATGCAACCTTTATATAAAAGACGAAACTCAGTATTTTATAGAAAGAGATCAATGTAGCTATGAGCTAGAGAATCTCTCAAATTCTGTGATCCACATCAATGCCCAACTCATCGTGTGAAGAAAAGAATGAAACTCTCTCCATAGCCATCTTTTTCTTCATGTGTAAGCTTTGGCAGACTATGCCTTTTAAGGAATTTATCCCTTTCATCTAGATTTTCAGCTTAGTAGGCATAGAGTTCTTCATGGTATCCCTTTATCATCCTATCAATGCCAAAGGGACCCACCCATAGTGATGTCCTCTCATTTCTGACAGGTGTAATGTGTGTCAACTCTATTTTCTTAACTTGGCTAGAGACATATCAGTTTTATCAACACACTTTTGGTTTCATTTATTTGCTCTATTGATTTCCTATTTTCAATTGTATTGATTTCTTTTCTAATTTTTATTGCTCTTCTGCTTACTTCAGATTTAATTGGCTTTTATTTTTCTAGTTTACTAAGGCAGAGGTAAGATTAATGGTTTTTATATTCTTCCTGTTTTCTAATATATGAGTTCAAGACAATAAATTTCAATCTAAGCATGATGTTAACTGCACTTCACAATTTTGATAAGCTGTGTTTCCATTTTTATTTAGTTTAAAATACTGTTTATTTTTTAATCAGGTATTTTTTGGAGTCCCTGTGTCATTAGAAGTGTGTTCTTTAATCTCTAAGTATTTTGTGATTTTCTAGCTGTTTTTCTATTATTAATTC